GTTGACATCACAATTCATGCCATGTGCATGTCTAAAAAAAAAAGCCTAAAAATGACCAACCCGATCTCACGAGAAAACTATTTCACGAGATGGCACTTTCGTATGAATTTGTACAATGTGATTCAGACAAAAGTAGGTATGAAGGTCCACGCCTAAACCTAATCCTCAATGGGGCATGAACAGAAAACAAAAAAGTACAAATGAGATTGTATGAATTCATCCAAATTAGCCACCAATTTGCCAAAACATAAAATAGCTGCCATGAGAATGTGTTGAAATGAAATGTTGATTCAAGCCGATTACGGCTTTCTTAAATGTAAGGATGTCCAAAAATAGGAATTAAACACTCATGCCTTATGGCAAACTAAATATTTAGAGATTTGAGTCATCGTGAGTGGGAGAACCATAATCCAAAACACCGCCAACAAAGCAGGCGAGAACTTCTCTTTAGTTCACTGACTGCTACGTGATTAATCAGTCTATCACTAATACATACCATTAAAAGTAAAAGAAGCAAGTACCAAATTAAATGTACTGAATAAAGACAAAGCATTTCTGAGAACTCCAACCACAAACTTTGCCTCAGCTGTTTCTACTAAAAGCAGACACAAATGAGAGGATAGTTGTACGCATCTATAAAATTGATGTGGATAGCAGATCACATAATTTGGTCTGAATTATTTAAATTCATATTGGAATCTCTGTCATGTAATCCTGGCAAACCTGAGCACAATTTGAGACGCTGTTGAGATCTGCAAGTGTAGAGGAGAGACACGTGAAATTACTGGCGTGTTTTTCCTCAGTGTTTTTCCTGAGAAGCTCTTCATTTATTCTCCATACTGTCTAGAAGAAACAGTTGACATAGTAGAGGGGAAAAACGAGATCTGATTTGCCATTTTCCTTTGCTATAGCGAGATCTAGTTCAGGTGACGTACAAAAAAAGACAAACCCAGACTAGTCCTTGACAGGACTTCGGCTAGTTTTAGTCATCTGAAACAGCTCGACACATTACGGCTGTTTGTCTGCATTATTCACACAAATAAATCAATAATCATACGAACTGTTACTGAATTAAATGGAAAACATTACGAGCATTTGTTGTTGTTGAGAAAAAATCTTACAGTCCATTTAAACCGGCGGATCGGAGTAAAAAATACCCGGATTTATAAACACCATGGACAAATATTGAACACGCACCTTCGGTTTAAACAATATGCCAGGCATTGTATTTGTTTGATCAACCGGAAATGTGACTAAAATCTCCTGGAGCTCTATTTTTAATCCCAACGGCCAGCAAAATAATCCAGCCGTACTCACCTTGTCGAGAACCACGAATGTGGTGCAAATAAAATCCTTTCGTTGCTCTGAATGACCTTCGAGTTACTGTTTTCGGTGTATGAATGAACGAGGCTCAGCTTTCCATAGTCAATAATGTTCACCGGCTCTAACAGAAGAAATGAAACTGAGCGAGTGAGGGGGTTGCCTGGGAACGAGCACAGCAGCACGAGTCATAGTTAATAGCAATGTTACGCCGGTAACAATTAATATATCCAACCGCACGATCAAAAGCGGTCGGGAATGATCTGATTCGCAGCAGTAGCTTATCGCGTCCCTGAGAAAGCGCGCAGGGCCGAAGGGGGAGTCAAAGCCACGACACCCGTATGAGATGATGGGAAAAAGAGAGGGCAGGGCGCTTTGACGAGACACTGTTTTACTACGTTACACTTGACTAGCAGAGACAAGTCTGGGGAGGGGGTCTGGAATGGGGTTCATCATGACTCTGTCACAATTTAAGGTAACTGGGCCACCTATTGGTGGATCTGGGGCACCCGAAACGTCACTTTGAGATTGCTCAGTGCAAAAAAAAAAAAATAGCCTACAATTAAAATAAATTAATATATATAAATAAATAAATACAAATGTATGAGCCTTAGATGCAATAGTATGTCATAAATGTATGTATGCAAATAAATAAATGAATAAATAATAAAAAAATAAAAAAATAAAACTAAGGTGCGGAAAAATAACGCATACCGCAAAAAGACACGCAAAACTATCCCCGCCTACTGGCGTAACGTTGCAAGTACCTGCAACAAGAGACGCGAACGAATCAGAGTGAAACGTTTTGGAACGGATTCTAAAGATTCGAATCGAATGCGATGAATAAAAAAATAAAAACAAATAATAAATAAATCAAATCAAATCTTATTTTGAGAGATTAAATAGCAGTATTTCTTATTCTAAATGTGATCTCCACTGCCAATGGAATAATACATTTGTTTTTGTTTTCTTTCACTCTTAAAAAACAACTAAATCTGTTATACTTTCAGAGGTCAAAGTAATTCTAGAGGATTTGTTTAGGAAGATTTTGCCAGTATCTCCATAAAGAAAGGGAACCAAGACATATACACGTTCCTCATTGAATATTTGAGACTAGATTTGTGGCTGATTAACTGGATTCATATTTTTTTGTGAGTGCTTCCCTTCAACTTGCCATTTTCTATAACTTATGACACGTCTCATCAGGTTTTGACAGCCACACACATACCAGAGATGAAAGCCTGAGGCCCATTCATGCAGTCTTCCTCCATTTGCACAATATATGTTTGTTTTACAGTAAATCCAAGTTTTTAGCCAAAGATTTGGCACTGCTGCCCCCTAATGTTAAAGACTGGTTGCTCCAAGAAAGACGGTTGTTTGCCGTAAATTCAAGCAAGCCACAGATATTTGTAAGAAATAAGACCATAAAAAATTTTAATCACAAGAAAAATGAAATTAGGTTTATTCATGTCATGTGATTTATTATTATTAATATAATATATAATATATATTTTTTTATATATAATATAAAAACAGTATGTGACACATTTGAGAAACTATATAGGGAGATATTCCTGGCAGATTTTTTTTTAGCAATAAACATTACAGATTGTATATTGTGGTACAGAATTATATGGCATGAAATCTGCAGGTTACATGGATTTGAATCATACACTTCAGCACATATCAGCAGCACGAAACTTTGAACATAAACCTGGTGTTTAAACACATGATTCAAGTGACATGTTAGTGTGTGATGTGGTTTGTGTGTTAGAATTAAATTTGCACAAAGGGAAGATGCTCATGCAGTACTGAAGATACAGTGTGCAGATTCTCATGTCGCTCCAAAACGTACCTGCTGCCTTCCATGGCCTATCCTGGCCACTCTTTTCAATATAATGTACAATAATATTGTAAAGTGTATACCAGGACTTCAGAAGTCACATGATGGCTTTGTGAAGTTTTTATTTACTTAAAATCTTGCATTACACCCTAGCTGTCCTTGATAGTTGAATTTATTTGTGTATGATGTGTTCCTGTGTTATTTTATTATTATCATACATTATTATTTATATTATAAATACTATAATAGCATATAAATGTATTATTTTATTTTCAATTAGTTTTTACTTTTATATTTCAGTTTTCATTTCGATTTTAGTTTGTTTTAGTAATTTTGTCACTTTTATTAGTTGAGTTTAAATTGTTTTATATAGCTTTATATATCCATATTTATATATAGCTTTAATTAGTTAGTTGATTTCCACTGCAACATGACTTTTTTTTTTAAGTTTAGGTTTTTCATCTGATATTTTCTTTTAGCTTTCTTTTTAATCACTGAAAACAACTGTTTTAGTTAAACAACAACACTGATGCGTTCATGAGAAGTAGTGAAGTCCAATTCATGACTAAGTAAATTCTTTCAAATCTTTAGTCAATTAATTCAGTTCATAAAACAGATCTAAATGATTCTTCACATATTGGTTCTCAAGTTCAGAGGGAGTACAGTGGTCCACCAGAGGGAAAGATTTTTATTTATTTAAATTTTTTTTACAATTTCAAATGGCATTATATAGCACACAAATCATTTTTATTAAACTTGAACTTTTTGCATTATTCAAAATTCTCTTTTTGAGTTCCACAGAAGACGGTTTGAAATTACAGGAAGGTTCTGAAAGTGATCTTAATGTTATTGTTCCTATGTGTTGTTATCAAAACTTCATAGTTATTGTTATAGTTATTGACCCTGGTGTGAACAGGCCTTTAATGATGGCAGAATGTTCATTTTTGGTGACCTATATCTTTAAGATCAACCGTATCACATTTACTTTCCTTTTTACAGCCAGTCATTTTCAAATAAACCCAAAGACCTTGATTAGGTACTTGATTAGGTCTGAAAGGTTTAGATATGTTCAATTTAACCTCGGAAGTCAGTTCTGCTGGAAGGTTCACGACTGAGCACCTCTAAAAGACTTTTAAAGGTATAGTTCACCAAAAAATGAAAATTCTGTCATCATATGGATTCATTTTACGTTCGATGGAGGGACTGTGACTTGAAGGTCATTTCACCCAAAAGTGAAAATTCTGTCATTTACACATCCTCAAGTTGTTCCAAACCCGTATGAGTTTCTTTCTTCACAAAATAAGATATTTTGAAGAATGTTGGTAACCAGACAGTTGACGGTAGCCATTGACTTCCATCGTATTTTTTCCATATAATGGAAGTCAATGGGGACCAGCAACTGTTACCTACATTCTTCAAAATCTCTTTTTATATTCAATAGAAGAAAGAAACTCATACAGGTTTGGAACAACTTGAGGTTGAGAAAATGATGACAGAATTTTCATTCACTTTTGGGAAGCCCTTTAACCAAATTCTTAGGGGTTTGGAAGGACATGAGGGTGAGTAAATGATGACAGAATTTTCATTTTTGAATTTTTTTTATGGATTGTTGATGGACAATATGTAAAACGACATTCAAGATATCAAAACAGCTGCTTTATATTCCGCGTCCATTAGCACCCTCCACTTTTTTTGTACTCCTATTCCTCTGGGTTTCTGTGATCAGACGAGATGCTAGGAAAAAGCATGTTGCTCTCCAGTGACAGGTTGCTGCCCAGACCCGCGATGCGGCTGCGCAGCAGAAAGTGAGTCCTGCGTTGCAGCAGCCGCTGCTGCTCCTGCTTGAGCTCCACGTAGGAGCGCGAGAACGTGTGGAAGATGGAGGTGACGGGGAACGCCATGAGCAGGATCCCGCTGAGGATGCTGCTGAGCGCCACCACCTGTCCGGGGATGCTGTGCGGCACCATGTCGCCATAACCCACCGTGGTCATGGTGATCACGAGGAATGCTACTGAACTCGCGCGTGGCCCCGGCCTCGTTTTCAATCAGGTAGAGGAGCGGGGAGAAGAGAGCTATGGCCACGCAGAGGAAGAGGAGGAGCAAGCCGAACTCCCGCGTGCACCGGCGCGCCGTCAGCCCGAGCGTCTGGAGTCCGAGCGAGTGGCGCGCCAGCCGCATCACATAGAGGATGCGTAACGCCCGCAGCACGCGCAGCACCAGGCCCACTTTGTCCAGGTAGCTGCTGCCCGAGCCCAAGCGCTTCTCGCCCGTGGAGGTGCTGTCCACCACCAGCGTGATGTAGTAGGGCAGGATGGCTATGACGTCGATCAGGTTGAGCGGCCGCCGGAGGAAGGCCAGCTTGCTGCGGTCTTGGATGAAGCGCAGCGTGAACTCCAGCGAGAACCAGGCCACACACACCGACTCCACTATGAAGATGTTGTAGCACATCTGAGAGCATTTGCCCTGAAACAGACAAATGGAAAGTTAAATAACTTGGGATTATGAGCATAGGTTTTTAAACTAGGTTCTTTATATATAAACTAGCATTTGAAAGTTTAGAGTCTGTAAGATTTTTTTTTTTAAGAAATTAATACTTTTATTCAGCAAGGACACATTAAATTGATCAAAAGTAACAGTAAAGACATGTATAATGGTACAAAAGAGTTCTATTTTGAATAAATGCTGCTATTCTGAATTTCCATCAAAGAATCCTGAAAAAAAAAAAAAGACATGAAGCAGCACAACTGTTTTCAACATTGATAATATTATGAAATGTTTCTTGAGCAGCAAATCAGCATATTAGAATGATTTCTGAAGAATCATGTGACACTGCAGACTGGAGTAATGATGCTGAAAATTTAGCTTTGCATCACAGGAATAAATTACATTTTAAAATATATTCACATAGAAAACAGTTATTTTAAATTGCATTAATAGTTCACAATATTACTGTTTTCACACGCAGCCTTGGTGAGCATTAGAGATTTTTTTCAGAAACATTAATCATGTTTAATTAAATTTTATTCACTTATTTTATTATAATTTATTTGATTGTTTCTGTGCTAAATTTTGTTGTATTTAGTGACAATAAAAAAAGTGTTTGACACTAGACAATACGTGTAATTAAATTCATCATTGTGTTTATTTGTTACTCATTTGTTACAACATTTTAAATCAAGTTTGAAATAATATTAAAATATTAAGGGTATTATGTGTGAATAAAGAATATTTAGTTGTTTCAGTTTGTCATTGGCCTAATAAATGACAAGGACATTTTTAGTTTTAAACTTTTAGTTTAAAGTTTTTGGACATCTTCCTAAAATATTTGTGTTTTCTCTTAATTATGACAGGTGGTCTAATAAATTTGTTAAGCACATACAGTGTTAATCCAGTGAATTATCATTTGATTAGTGTATTATGTGGACATGTGACAAACACAAAGGACATAATTCATGAAAATGGAACTTGATGGATGCAAGGGGAAAAAAACAGGTTTAGAGAGCATTTCATACTGTTCAGTGTTTTTGAATAATCTTATATCTTGCATAGCATCATCTT